TCCTCTCTATTATTCATTATATTCATATATATTTATTATTTTGGGTCACATCACATATATGCTCCTTTCTCACCTCACATCTCTAGTTAATTTCTCCATTGTGAGATCATTAAAGTATTCACCAATCAATCAATCTCAGATTCACAGAGCTTTAGTTTTTCCATCTTACGGGGAGTCCAGGAAACCTTGAATAGGATTTTATTTGGTGTCTTACACCAGGATCTGACTGTTTCCTTCCATTTATCCATATTTAAAGGAAACCTGAGGGAGAATGAGTTTCTGACCTTTAGGGTCTGGTTGGGTTTGATCCCGGGGCCCCGGACCAGGAGCGGGACCTTGATGTCAAACTCGTAGAGCTGCCTCTTATCGATGGGCAGCGAGAACTGACCTGGAATCAGAATCAGAAATCAGAATCAAAAATACTTTAATAATCCCAGAGGGAAATTAGAAAGAGTACGTCACCACGGCTGGATTTATGCAGCTACATGCACGGATTCACTGTTTACAACCCTAAAAAAGGCAGAAATGATGAATACAAAGGCTCAAAGTGACATAAAAACCTTCATTTGAAGCCCCTTAAAGTCGACTGATAATCCATAATTAACAAGGACACACACCAGAAGGGGCATTTTACAGAAAAATTATTTTTTTGCTTCTCAGAACAGGCTTTAATTTAGTAAAATTTTCCATTTTCATTGAAAGAATTAAAAGAAAGTGAAAGAAAGATTATATATTTCAGCCTGCGATTGGTTGGCTGACCAAACTGAATGAACTTTAGATGCCTGTTTGACCTGTTTTTGTTCCAATAAACCGGATTAAAATGAATCGGTCAGCTCTTTGACCCTTGAATCAGGTGAGTTTGAGTAGGAAACATGTAAAACACGCGGGACAGAGGACCCGCCCACCTAAAACTGCACCAGAAAGTCATTTTAAAGCTCAAATATTCCGTCAAATGTATTTATTTTCAGTGTCTTGGAGCAGATATTAGTGTATTTTCTTAAAAGTTCCTCATTTAAGGAGCCGTTGTGATGACATCATGTTAACCCCGCCCATTTATAAGCCACGCCCACCAACAATCCTCCCTGTTAGCTTAAAAAAAACAGCAATTAATGCTACAGAGGCATCTGTAAGAGTTATTTAAGGGAGAAGCTACTGACTTCCCTCAGAAAAAAAGAATGACCCACACATCTAAGCATGCTAGTAAGTTAGCTTTAGTCATGTTTGTTTTTAAACTGATTCGTCCACTGACCAGTGGGAGCCGCTAACGGAGCCTAAAAACTGGAAATGAAACACAAGATCCTAGATACTCTGAAGAGGAAACAGTGGAGATGTTGGTACAAGACAGAGATTCCTTCAATATTCATGGGAAATATTTGATTATGGTTAATAAACTGGACTAAAAAGACTACAAAAAGGCAAAAAGGAATCCACAAACAGCCTAAAAACTGGAAATAAAACACCAGATCCCAGATACTCTGAAGAGGAAACAGTGGAGATGTTGGTAAAAGACACACAGAACAGAAATTCCTTCAATATCCATGGGAAATATTAGATTATGGTCAATAAACAGGACTAAAAAAATCTTGCTAAAGCTTGTCCGTAAATATCGGCTTCTAGACAGAGTATGTAGTAACAAATTGACCCTCTAGGTGGCAGTGCCACTTTTGATGGGAGATGAGCATAGACTGTAGGCAAATAAGAAAAAGGTAACGGTTCTATGAGAGAACATGTCGCCGGTGAGACGCACGTCCAGGAAGAACGGAATAAGGTAGAAACCAAATTTTTTTCCTGATGAAAGAAGAGAGTCTACTCTTTCTTTTGGTGTGTTCGGTGTTTACATAGTCATAGCACAAACTATTCTGTGGCTCTTGAAAAATCAGTCAAAATGCTCAAAAAACTCTGGCAGTATGGGACTCTCTGTTCTGAAAATGGCTGCCAGTCAATGAGTTGACTGTAATTCACCTGTGTGGTAGCCATTGTCTGAGGTGTAGAAGACGTAGGTGTTGTCCAGCTCCTTTATGCTGTCCAGCTTCTTGACCAGTGTCTCCACCAGGTCGTCCACAGAGAGAAGCGTCTGCCACCTGCCAGAGGAGAAAATAGCACAGCTTAGCCCCATCCAGACGACTCCAAAACCGGCCGAACGCGGTACTAAAATTTTCAGCTTGATACCGATACTCAGGGAAATGTTCGATACCATTTTCGATACCACAAGGATAAAAACAAAGACCCCAAAATTTAGCTGAATTTTGACAGGTTAGTGTCTTTGGTTTCAAACTGACCTGTTACTGATTTTATGGTGGCCCACATTAATGACCCTAACCCTGACCCTGACCCTGACTCTAATCCTAACCCTAACCCTGATCCTTACCCTGACCCTAACCCTGACCCTGACCCTAACCCTAACCCTAATCCTAAACCTGACCCTAATCCTAACCCTAACTGTCCAGCCTTCATAATTATGAGAAATAAATATTTTTTGGTTAAACTTGTTTGGACTTTTTTTTTTTTAATTATTTTTTTTTTTTAATATGTTCTTTTTAACATTGTAACCTTGGTTTTGCAAAAGCACTGGAGCTGTAACAAACATATTGCTTTTTCCTTTGTTCCTGCTTTTAACTGTGTTTTAACCTTTTTTTTCGTTTGTTTGTTTTTATGCTGTTTTATGCTGTTCTTTTATATAAAATGTCTTGTCTTAATGTAAAGCACATTGAGTTGCCGCTTGGTATGAATTGCGCTATATAAATAAAAATGCCTTGCCTTGCCTTGGACTTATTGTACAAACCTATTTAACATCCACTATTTTAAATAAATAAATACATCTTTTAAGTTTTGGAACGTGACTTCACCCGACCTTGTGACTCTACAGTGTGACTTAATCTTATTTTATTGTATTTATTTTTACATTATTTGATACTCTGCCTTCAGGAAAAGCGGGGAAACCGATAACGTTTTCTCACTCTGGTCCTAAAACCACACCATGGAGCATGTTTTCCCAGTTTCCTGCCCCAGAAAGGCCTGATTCCAACCCTTGGGCCCCTAAAATTTTAGAGCATCTCGGAAACATTCGGGTTTAGCAGCTGGTGGATTAGATCAGTGTTTTTCAACCTTTTTTGAGCCAAGGTAGAGTTTTTCATTGAAAAAATCTCGAGGCACACCACCAACCAAAAATGTCAAACAAATCTGTATCTGCCTATAGTAACACTATAGTTATTCTTATTTTATTTTTATCTTATCTTAAGTGTCTTGAATAGGAATCAAATAAACACAAAAATGTATTTTTATCATATTTTATATTTCTTCTTTCAAATTTCTCTTAACATGTCCACTTCAATATGCAAAATTATATACAAAATCTAGTCATAAGGAATTATTACATGATTACTCCACCAGTCACTACAACAGCACAGACACTCAAAAATGGCATATTAATTGCAGAAAATTAATTCCTTATAAAAAAAAGCTTTTTAGACCAATTAGGTGAAATAGGATGATTTTCTACAGCCCACCTGACCATCACTATGATACACACTAGTGTACCGAGGCACAGTGGTTGAAAAACACTGGATTAGAGGTCCCAGAGGTCAAAGGTCGTGTGGTACCTCTTCCTGTAGGCGTTGTCCAGATAGGCGATGGTGCTGTTGGGCATGGGGTTGACGGGCTGCCTCAGGAGCCAGTGTTTGTCCTGGAAGAGAGATGTTCAGTAACCAAGTAGAACTACTTAAGTACTGTACTTAAGTACCAAAATGCAGTATCTATCTGTACTTGATTGGAGTAGATATTTTTTCCCCTACTTTTACTTTTACTCCACTATATATTTTTGATTATTTCAATACTTTTACTCCGATCGATTTTTCACAGGCTGAATCGTTACTCGTTACTGAAATGTAAACGTGATGATAGATAGCTCTGTCCCTGTTTGGGAAGCTAGCTCCTCATTGGGCGATTTGAACGATCAAGCAGAGCCTATTAAAAAAAGCCTCCCGAAAGATGGTTAATTATGGCCTTCAAAAATTCCCCATCTAATCTGAAGAAGCATATCAAGGTAAATTAAAAAATACAAGGACATATAAGCTAGTAAATAAGCGCTAGTTCAGTTCTCCCTGTTCACTCAGGACGTAGCAGCTAACGTTAGCTAAAGCTAACCTAGCTGGCTAGCTGTATGCTAACGTTAGCTAAAGCTAACTTAGCTGGCTAGCTGTATGATAACGTTAGCTAAAGCTAACCTAGCTGGCTAGCTGTATGATAACGTTAGCTAAAGCTAACCTAGCTGGCTAGCTGTATGCTACATGCTAGCATATAGGCTCAGCTCAGGATTCTGACTGGAATAATAAAAAATAGTAGATGTAGTGCTGTTGATTGCTAATGCAGATGTAGTTTTCTGTTTTTTTGTAAACACCTGTATGGCCTTTCGCACGTTTGAAATAATATAAACAATATCTATTTCATTTTTGACTGCCTTTCTTTAATATACACAGTACTTGTACTTTTACTTATACTTGTACTTTCGATACTTGAGTAGAAAATAATATAAACAATATCTATTTCATTTTTGACTGCCTTTTTTTAATATACACAGTACTTGTACTTTTACTTATACTTATACTTTCGATACTTGAGTAGAAATTTTTTAAATACTTCTACTTACAATACTTAAGTACAAAAAAAATGGAGTACTTCCGTACTTCCACTTAAGTATGGAGTTGAAAGAACACTTCTACTTTTACTCAAGTACATTGTTTTTACACAGTACTTGTACTTCTACTCCACTACTTTAAACATCTCTGCCTGGAATAGAGTTTGGTTATTATTGAAAAACCAAACGGGGGGGGGGGCGAAATCCGGGGCCGACCTTTCCCGCCTTGTTGAAGCTACCGCTCCGAGGGGCCTGAACGTTGTTGAACTTCTGCTGGTAGCGGGGCGCCGCCGTCCAGGGAGAGTGGGGGGCGGGGGGGGCCAGCATCATGAAGAACGGGTGCTGGGGGCTCCGGTCGTCCAGGAAGTGGA